ACTTATGGGATACCCTGATTTTTCCCCACAGATATCATGTCATTTCATTCTCATCCCTTGAGATTTTTTTATACTTATTCCAATCTTCGTATTTCATAAAAATTTGCAGTTTGAAGAAGAAAATTACAATTTTCATGTAACAACACCTACTCACATTTCTACTCATTTTCTTGCAAAATGTTACACCTAATTTTCATATTCATCACTTACTTCAGGATAATGGGTAATTGATTTTTAAAATTTATAAAATTTTCCCAAGGTACCACTTCTTCTTGCCTCATCAAATATAAGTGCATGCAATAAAAATAGCATTTTTTAATAACTATCTAAATTCCAAATGAATGGAAAAATAAAAAACTCTTGTCAGGCATAATCATAATGAATAATTTATTAAAAAAAATACAAACAAAATGGCGTTAACTTACAGACAGCCTTTAGAATAATAAAACAGATGAATTCAGACTAAAAATTTTCGAGTGTAAAGTGTGTACGTGTTCTGGTCAATTGAAACATTGCTCAACTAGTTCTACTTTCAACGAAAAACAATTATAATTATTTTCAAACTTCATCATACGTATACCAAATTTTTCAATGTTATGTAGATACATGACATAAATAATTATCAACTACAGTATCCCCATGTGGGCCCTATAATTTAGATAAATATATCAATGGTTTTTCCAAAAAATAAAAGAAGAGATTTCAAATTTCATCCAGGTGAACCAAAATTTCATGAGAAGATACCAATACACAATTTTCAGGTATTTGAACTCTTAATGTTTCCTCATTATTCAATTATTTCAGATCTACAATATTAGGTTAAATCACATTTTTGAGTTTTGGAAAATATTAATGATTTTGGATTTTGGATATTCCGTTAGGACATGTAGGAATGTTTTGTTATTATCTACTAAATAATGAAAATTCTCATAAAACATTTAATAAAAAGATTTCCAACTGAAATCATTCAGTTCACCCTAGAATATGAGTATTCTCTCAAATTTCTCAAGTCCTAGAACATTTCCCAAATTTTAAAATTTTTCCCGTTTGAGCGGATATGGGTTAATACTGTAGGACAAAAACAACTAAAAAAAAAACATTTCCCATGCATTCAGATCGTGCACTGAACACAAACTACCTTCTAAACTACTACACTAAAATTATAAATATGTACAAAAAAGGAACAAAACGTTTCACTATACTATCTAATAATGATAAATATATATTTTTGGCGTTTCAAATAAAAAGAAACCTTTACTTTTTTAAGTAACAAAAAATCGTAAAAAAAACGTCATGTTGGATGTATCAGAAGGCCTAGCCTTTTTACCCCACCTCTTTCTATGTCTAATTAAGAGAATCTTACACCTTGTATATGTTCCATACCCTTTGGAAAGTTGAATGAAGAATGTTTCAGCAATTAGAAAACTTGACCATACTGACTGCTTTGTTACCCTTTCCTTAGTAGTGGACTAGTGGTCGCCTCAACTTTTGAGCGCTCAATACTAAAAGTGATTTATATTATTATATCTTATTCAGGATAAATAGATGGCTTTCAAACTAACAGTTATTATATACAGGGTATCAATTTGAAAACGTTGAATGTGAATATCTCACAAAATGAAGAAGTTGGAAAAAAGACCAACTAGGATACCCAAAATGGAAGGTCTCATTCATTAGTTTTCACCAGTACAAGAATTCTTGGAAATTTTGTGTAAAATTCTTGTACAGGTGAATATTACCAAATGGTGGTTAATTATTATATATATCTGTTTCTGTTTTTCCGCATAACTGATTTATTTGAAAACTTGCTACCTACGGCCAGATTCGCAAAATTTTCAAATACTGGATTAGAAAAATGCAATGGTAGTCTATTCAATATTTGACTGTCCATTCAACTCCAACGCAACCAGAAGTCCTTATATGATTGAATCAAGACTAAAAGTTTGGAAGAACTTGTATTGAATGATGAAGAGAATACAGAGCTGTGTCCGCTTGAACAAATTAATTCTTCTACAGGATGTAATTTAATTGATGGCTAAAAATATAGGATATGAATCCTTAGCTCATTTTAAGCAGAAAATTTCATATGAACATATGACCTAAACATCTTAACTTTCGAGCTATAGGGTGTTGAAATTTCAAGAAAAAATCGTTTTCTTATCATAACTTCAATACTATTCAAGATATTTTCATGAAATTTGAAATTTCCTGTGTAATATGTAGTGCCCTATTTTATTTTTCAAATAATGACATTTTATTGATTACGTTGCGGTCTTATTTTGATAAGTATTCACAGACGTGACAGACAATAAAATTTCAACACCCTATAGCACGAAACTTAAAAGAAGTATAGGACATGTGTTCATATGAATTTTTCATCCTAAAATGAGCTAGGGAACTATATCTTATATTCTTACGGATCAATTAAATTACACCCTGTATTACTGATTGAGAATTGAGAAAATCTCAACTTCACAATTCATTTGAAACTTCATCATTGCTCACGACAAGTCAATATCAGGTCTCGATTATGCAATCATGAATTCATTCAATCAAAATGGCAATTTTTGTTCATACAAATCAAATAAGGAGTAACTTCTTCATTCAAAATTCTCACTAGGTAGGGTGTAATAAGTGTAACATTCTCTCAAGCATGAATTATAGAGGGTTGACCTTGAGTGATGGTGCACAGAGCAGCAGTTTATTCATTTAAAATATCAAAATATCATTCACATTATGTCAATAATGAACTGTTGCTCAGTGCAGGTACCATTACTTTTGGATGACCCTATATACCGGGTGGTCCACTTGAGACTATCTACCCTCAATGGCTCCCCGAAAAATCATTCAATAGAAAATTGCTACAACACCACAGTTTGATGAGTAGCAGGTGAATATACTTCAACCACTTACTTTCCACAGCAACCCCCTTTATATCATGATAAGAATTAAGGATCCTGTAAAGGTAGATGACACATAATTTGTTTCGAAAAAAGAAGGAATTTTCGATAAACATGAATAAAACATCCATGACAGCCTGCTGCTGGTGAGTTATTTTGTATTAAATTTGATCAAACTACCAGAAAGGAAGGGAAATACAAAATTGAAAATTGATTAGATAGAAGAATTACAACTGAATGATCAGGTAATTCTTTTATAAAGTTCCGGGAATATTCTGCAAATGAACTACTACTCCTTGAGAGTCAAGGAGATCATTTCCAACCTTTATTTACCCACAATTCAAAAATATACCACCTCAACAACACTTTGTTCAATCAGAACAACTTTGCACTGTTATTGTCAAAATAAAAGTATCTTTACATTGATGTATGGCATGGCCTTCATTTCCTTTACAAAAATAGGAGAGGCTTGCTCTTGGGTGTAGGGGCTTGAAGTATGTACTATCTCCTACAGGTCAAACTTTATCGAGTAGACCACCAGGTATAAACAATATCATTTTTATATACCAACATATGAACAATATATCATTTAGATATGAAGTAAAAAAAACTGATCTATTTTTCGAATCACCACCATTATAATGGGTTAAAAGCACTCATTCATTATTGCAGTGGGTTCTATCAAATGAATCTGATTACTAAATTGTCTTGATAAAATTTCAATTATTAACAAGCCTTACACAATATTTCCCATTGATTAGTTGAAATATCCTAGGCATATCTAGAATGAGTTTATTTTCAATGTTTAATCACATCTTACATTCATGTAAATATGCCTCTTTCAGGTGAACATCTGAATTGCTGTATAAGAGATATCAAATTATCAGTACTTTTCCATGAAGGTCCAAATATAAAATCCTTTCCAAACTGTGATGAAATCGAGGTTTTTCAACTGATGGAGTCGATTTTTAGTATTATATTCCTATCAAAACATGCCAGAAAAGTGACTTAAAGGTTTGACATTACTCAAAATAGTGAAGGCATACAAAAAATTATAGTTTTGGAAATAATCCAAAGAAATACAAAATATGAATTTCAAATATGAAATTGAAAATTCACTGTGAACCAGTTTATCATTGCAACTGTTTGATATTGCATTAATCAACTTCAAAAATACAAAGACCAAGTTTCATATGAGTGCCAAGAAGTGCCTATTGATTTTTCTCAAATTTTACAAATTTCGAATTTATAAGTTAAGAATAACTCTGAATTATTAGATATTTGATTGAAAATAATCGCCATCGGTAGAGCTTACATTTCAAAACTGCCTCAATTGACTTCCTATGTTCAAACCAATGAAATGACCTCCACAACTTACCAAAAACCTCCATCGCATCACCCATCCAACCCCTACCATTCCCTCCCATACCTTTTTATGTTGTTTATTAAGGAATCTGGCAAAATACGACAATCAAAAACATTGTCAACAAAAATTGCCAACAAAATATGGAAGGGCTTTGAGGTATCGTTCTGGAGTTATAACATCTACACTACAGTAAAACTTTTGGAGTTTTGGAATGACCTCTTGATTCTCGGAACATTGGAAATAACTTATCGAGATCAAATTTCATTCCACATAGAAAATTGGAGATCTCTTACCTTTTTGTTCACAATGTAACCGGTTCTCAGATTTTGACTGAAATCACCATAAAAAAGCTTATGAATATTTTTTTCATGATACTCCTTCGTCAAAAACTTCAATTTCATTCAAATTTAGTTTCCTATCGCAGATGGGGTTTCTCGACGAAAAAGACCGAATATCAAAACGGCGCAACGTCATCCAAAAAAAGAATCAAACAAAAAACAGGCCAGCCTATACAAACACAAGCACGCACACCGTGACGGACCGAAGACTGAACGCTAGCCGATAGACGCTAGCCGCTAGTCGTCTGTCGCAGTCGCCGGCCGCTCCCGTCGCGTCAGGCGGTAGACCGGGCGGTCTCTCCATCTCTCTCTCTCTCGTTAATCCTGCCTCGTTGCCGGGCCGCGCGCCCCCACCTCTCGGCAGGGCGGCGAGCTGGCGAAGCGGATGATGTTCGATCACGACGCCTGCTTGACGACGATCACGCCGGGTCGCGACTGCTGGTGCTGCTGGAGCCGCGCCGCGTTGAAGTCCAGGTAGTTCTGGAAAGGAAGAGAGTTCGGTGATTCGGTGCAGCCTTCACAATTATGTTGCGAAAAAGAATCATATATAATACCACAAGTGCCGGAAATATTCGGTGATTGTTACGACAGCTTGTTGTCTAGTAATTTCGTGAATGACATTGTTATCAAAACTACGAGCTGTAGGCGAGTAGTTTTGGATCAATGTCATGAACGAAATTGGAGCAGCAAGCTGGGTATGTCAATCGACGAATATTTCCAGGAAAAATAGTATCACGAGTTGTATTCGTATGATTATTTCATGATTGAATGAGACAATATACACCGTGTCCCAGCTAAAATGTCCCCCCCTGAAAAAAATCAACCGCGCGATCGATTGACTCGAAATTTGGTCACCCAGTATATTTGATGATGCTCACTCAAAATATGCTATTGAATAAATCGTAGGTATACAGGGCCACACCGAAGTGCACCTGAACTTTTCCATTTGAATAGGCACACCCAGTATATCATTCCATATTCAAGTTGAGTTCATTATTACAAACTCAACAATGCCGGGTTTGATGGGATTTTTTCAAACGACTACGTAGATATGGCAAAAAATCAAACGATTCTATGAAAAATGTATATGATTAGATTCTATTAATATAACACGATTGAAATCGAATGAAAAGAAAATAATTAAAACCTCAACTGATCAATATGTCATCCATTCTGCTGCAAACATTTCCTATCTCTTTTGATAACTTCCAATGTGACCCTATGTATCACGTTGCGATCAATTTGTGTGCATTAATTTGTGATTTTCTCTTTCATTTCTTCCATAATCACAATTGGCGACTCATAAACCTGTTGTTTTAAGTAGCCCCACAAATAAAAATCAAGTGGTGTGTGGTCTGGCGACCGAGCTGGCCAGTTGCTATCACCATCTAGACAATTGGTGGTTATTAGATTTCAATTTTTTTTTTCATTCGATTTCAATCGTGTTATGTTGATGAAATCTAATCATAAATTTTGTATTGAATCGTTTTATTTTTTTCCATATCTTCGTTGTCGTTTGAAAAAATCCCATCAAACTCGGCATTGTTGAATTTGTAATAATGAACTCTACTTGAATATGGAATAATAGAGTGGGTGTCCCTATTCAAATGAGAAAGTTGAGGTGCACTTCGGTTTGACCCTTTATACCTACGATTTATTCAATAGCATATTTCGAGTGAGCATCATCAAATATACTGGGTGACCAAATTTCAAGTCATTCGATCGCGCGGTTGATTTTTTACAGGGGGGGACATTTTAGCTGGGACACGGTGTATATAAGAAATAGGAAACATAATTCAAGTATATTCCAACTCAAACTGCGAAGAAGAACATAATGATAGTAATGAAATACAGAATTCAATTTTTTAGAAATTAACTACCTACTTATAGTTATTCACAAAGTGGAATGTACAATTTTGAAAAACAGTATTTTTTTCATTATCTTGGAGATGGTTGCTCTCAAAAGAGTGTATACAATTGCTATCCAATTCAAACAAAATAAATTGATTTTATGTGACATTAAAAAAAAGATATCGTCGCCGAGGGACTCGAACCATCAAAAACTTCGTATCTACGCGCAACAACCCTATCTGTTGCGCTACATCATCTGGTAATTATAATGGTCACAATAACTTAAGTGATTGAAGAAGATTACTTTAAAAAGAAATTTGAATTCTAGTATTGTTGTGTCAGACCGTCAACAAATATTCAAACTTTTTAAATTACACATGAAACGTCCAGCCAGAATAAAATTGTCTCGCCTTTCGTACAAAATGTCTCACTAACGCGAATTATAAGTAAATAAAATAGAGTAGGTACTTAGGTTATTGTCTCAGATTTGAATCCAAAGCAATCTTGACCAGACACGATGTCAAAATTTTATCGCTGATAAACGAGGTTTGTTGGTTACGAGTGGGTTAATTCGGCTTTTGTATTGGTATAGCAAGTCCGATAAAATGTAATTAACAAAAAATATCGCTAGAATACAGAAGAAACCGTGAAAATGGTCGATTCTGATTGGTTCTCGAGATCAAGAGTGGAATAGTCATAAAAAAACACTTCTCTCACCTGCATGTCGGCCTTGAGGACGCTATCCGGCGTGCGCTGCGCGTGGGTGGTGAGAGCGAGCGGCGCGTCCTGCGCGTGCGGCTCGTCGCCGAACATGTGGTCGCCCTCGAGGTGCCTGATCGCTTCCACGATCGTCTCGAGGTTCTGGCGCGTGGTGTTCGACACGTATATGCGGCTGGCGGTGGCGGGGTCCTCGTGGCCGCTCGAGGCCGTCGTGGTGGGCAGTCGCTCGACTTCCACCTGAAGAGGGAGAACGGATCCGTCAGTCGCCATTTTTTTTTTAGATTTATTTACGTACTAAGAGAATGAGACATTCTAAACTGCTGATCAATCGAACCGCATCAAGCACAATTTTGCTCTAAATTCAACGTTGAATATTTTCGCGAAAATTCCACTTATTCGGATGCAATTTTCTTTATTCTGTAGATTGATCCATTGGGTATATGACAGATAGACCGCTGATGAAACTACATAGTAACCTCTGGGTGACAAACAAACCTCTGCAAAATATTGAAAAATTCTCCATACTCCAAAGGACACCGCACGTTTTATAGGTAAAATTGACCTCTTGTCGAATTGGCTGAATTTTTGATATGTTATAGTCCAAGACATTCTGAACAAAATGTCCGAATACCAATCTCTTCTTATGGCTAGTTTTGGCGCTAGAGGCCGCTGAAGTCTCAATGTCGTTTATTTTTCTCCTGATAATTTTTTTAATTCCAGCTATATTATTATATTATTGTTTGATAGGATGCGTCACTACAAGAAGTATTCTTCAATATTGTCGCTGTTGGTCAAGAATTATACAGTGTGTTCAATCAATTATGGGGGAGATGAAATATGATACTATCCAATAATTCAATAAAAAAGGATATTGTCACGTGTCGCATTTCAATTAGGAAACAGTTTTTCCAATAAAAACATTTATTATTATTATTATTTAATGTTCACCTAGTATATAAAGAGGAGATATACAACGTTATTAACTCATTCTAAAACAGTAGCAGATATTATCAGTAATATCAGTATTCATTTGCATCTTTGGATGAATATTCCTTGTAACTTCGTCAAAAAATTCTGATTATACCTATTATATTTTTTCAAATGCATGTCAATATATTTCAGATATCGTCCTCGAAAATCGTACTATTCTTTCGAAAATCATCAATAATTGATCATCCTAAGTTGACGAGGCATGATCGCAGATATTGAATAGTTTGCGAAAACCGACGAGGAACGCTATTTTTTTAAAAGTACCCATATTTGGTCAATTTTCAACTGGCTCTATCTCCGCACCCTTTAGTCCTACATTCATGAACAAGAACCATTTTATCTAGGAAATGTTATCTACTTCAACTTTTTATAGGACTGTCTTTCCGATATAATGTATGATTTCCGAGTTACGGGCAAGAAACCGAAAAAAGTGCGAAAATTTCGATGTTTTTTGCTAATATCTCGTAACGCTCCAGGAAATTTTGTTTGCAAAATTCATATTCGAATTCACCACCTCCAATAACATATAAAACCACAGAGAAACCGACTACTTGAATTTTTTTCCGGATTGGGTCCTAATCGTTATAGTTTTACTGAGCTAATATGACATATAGCAGGCTCTACTCAGTAATTAGGGAGTTGAAGCAATGCAGAATGCGTAAGCGTAAACGTAGAATTCGACATCTTAGCATGCGCAGTATGCGAGTTTCCTACGCCAGGAGATACGTGCGACGTATGTTTACGTCTTGCTACGCTGGCGCTAAACGCAAATCGTATTGGACCGAAGGCGTTTCCTTTCTAAGCGAATACAAACGATAACTGTTCGGTTTTTACTTCAACCTCACTTTTATCACATGAAATCACATTTATTTTTTATTGCGCTTTGTTCTTGTGTTGTGCTTCGAAGAAATCATGGACAATTCGAATAAAAGAATTCTCTTTTCCTTGGAAGATGATTCGCATCTAGCAAGGGAAGTTGTAGGCCATAATCCCTACGAAGACACGGGCCGTTGGAACTTCATCCAAATGAATATAATGTAAATTACTGGAAAACTTCATAGCTTCCAGGTTTCGCATCTAGCAAGGGAAGTTGTAGGCCATAATCCCTACGAAGACACGGGCCGTTGGAACCTCATCCAAATGAATATAATGTAAATTACTGGAAAACTTTATAGCTTCCAGGTATTCCTAGGGCTCTAGCCAATCTTGGAATGTCATTTTTCGCAAATCGAAATAGATTTTTTACATTCTATTTCAAATAAATTGTTTAAATTGATATCTCTATATAATTCCCTTCGAATACCTGAATAGTCGTTCTCATTCAGTACATGAAGGATGAACATATCATCTAGTTCATCGTCACTACTAGCATCGCTATCATTTGTAGCTTCGAATATCAAAATCTCTTCCATTTTGTAACGAAGGGTTTGCAGCAACAACACTAGAACAATATCCAAGCAAACAAGACTAACAAATCAAAATAATTGAATGAAAAAGAAAAATAGGGTTACAATGAGTCTGGTCTTGTATCTTGTATGTACGTAAAACAGGTACGTACCATACGGTAGCTTTAACGCTACTTTTCATTGAATACGTATGTATTTCTATTCACGTTTACGTCCATACGTAATTGCAAGTTTTTGTATTGGCTTTAACTCCCTAATATGTATGTGATCAGTACGCATAAAAACTCAGCTTAACGCATACATGCTTCCATTTCAACATAGGTTCGTAAACTTAGTTACCGACCTTGGGTTCGGCCTTGATGGCCGCCTCCAGGACCGAGGGCAGCCGCTGCTCCACAGCAACAGCGGTCGAAACGACATTGACAGCGAGGGGCGGCGCGGGACTAACGCTCCTCGAGTTGGGCGGCGAGCAGCCGACCGTCTGCGTGTGCCCCACGGGCGGCAGGCTGTCGGCCGCCAGCAGCTGCAGGCCGATCGCGTCCGAGTCGTCCACCTCGAAGATCTGCGTCTGCTGCTGCGCTTGCTGCTGGAACAGTTGGGTTTCCAGCTGTCGCACCTGAGGAGGAGGAGGTGAGCGTTGGGTCATGGTGAATCAGATTTTCATTTGAAGAATTGAGGAGAAAATCTACCAAAAAAGATTTTCGCCAGCGGAGCATTTCATAACATATACAAAAGTTCAATTTTATATCATAAAAAAGTTCTTTGATCCCCCCGAAGTATACACTGAAATGACGCCCTTGAAATGGTTGGGACAAATTTGCCACCCTAGGCTCCAGGCTCCAGCCTACTCAGCCTGCTGGTAAATCTTGCACTGGTCGAACCGCGAGACATTGAATCTGTCAATATTGAGACAGAAGCGGAACATACGCACGCTGACCAATTGTTTTACTCGCAGTGACGCCATTGAAGATGTGTGGTTTTCATAGGGATGTGGAAGCACACCATACTATAGTTGTTTTTTCTTGTTGTGCCGTGTTCAAGATAGATTTCGATCCGTTTTCAAGCGTAACGTAGTAATTTATCTCATCCAAGAAAACATACTATTTTTAAATGAGAGCTGTCAAAATCAATGATTGCTCATACATGACCTGAAATCTATAATTTTTGAAATTAACGAATAAGTGTTTCTGTGAGAAGTGAGAAAAAAAAGTAACAATTGTAGCTAATGGAATCACAAGTGGAATTTTCAATTGACCTTGACGAAATATTCAGCAAAAACAAAATTAAAAAATATTTATAACCTCATAACCACCCCTCTATTCGTTTCCGTCGAACCGTTCATTTAGAAGTTTTTGAACCGGAATGAACCATATTACTAGATGCCGTCATAACTTTCACAAGAAAATGCTTGATTTCAAATCATTTCACGGTTCAACAAGGAAAAACAATCATTATTCCAGATTTTTTGGGATTTTCTCATCGTTTCTATAAGAATGTTCCTATCAGAGAGCCTAAAAGAAAAATTCACCAGCTTGTCCGTGACAATTTGTATTGAAAAAGGTTTGAAGAAGAGAAATAAAGGTATATAGAAAAATATCAAATTTTCACTTATCTTTGGACGTTTCGGGAACAAATCTGCTCCCGTTTTCAACATAAAAAATGGTTATTTGAATAGCAAATTCGTATCTGTCTTGAAACTTTTCAGTTCTCAGTGACAATTGGTGACGTTGGCAATCAAATGAGTTACAGGATGTTTTCATTAATTAATCTTTTTAATTTACCATACAGACAGAACATGGTATTCACTACTGAAATGTGAAAATGAAAATGGATAATTGGTTATATTCAGTGCAAGCCTTGTATGAAAAAGACCTCTCAAATAGCGCTGTATTATGTCTGGGTATCACTAAGGTAAGTCTATTGCGTGTAGGAATTTGATTTATATGTGAAAATGTTTGCAGTTTGTTTAATAAATACTCTGGTTGCTGGAGATTCAAAGTTTTGTGAACAAGAGTCGATAAATGTAATGAGCGATAGTTCTCAAGGCTCAACCAGTCCGAATTCTTCAGTTTGTAAGTGATGTGGTCAAATTTTCGGATTCCATAAGCGAAGCGTAAACAACTATTTTGAATTTTCTGCAAGCGTAAGGAATCAGATTGAAGTATCGCAGGCCCATATACTGAGTCGCAGTAGAATATTTTAGAAAAGATTAGCGATTCGCACAGTTGTTGGATAGAGTTGTCTCTGTGTATTGTACGAAGATTGGATCAAAGTAGAGATATGCTTAGTGAATCGTAATTCTGAGTCTAGCCATAGGCCTAAGTTTTTTGAAACATTTTGGAAATCAAGGTATGTGTCTCCTACTTTAATGCGAATTCGATTTGAAACGGTTTGCCTAGATTTAAGTCTACCGAATAGTATTGCTGTCGATTTGTTGGCGTTCAATTTGAGGTTGTGAGCTATGGAGAGGGCTTCGAGGTCATCATTGATACAATTTTCAGAAATGTCTACAGAATCGACATCAAAAGGAAGATACAGCTGCGTATCGTCAGCGTAATGATGTATGGTACTTATGAGTGAATGCGTGAAAATCGGATATATATATAAGTACAATAGAAGGGGTCCCAAAATCGATCCCTGGGGCACCCCTTGGAAAACAGGCAACACGTTCGACATCTTGTCATCCAGGATGACTTTGTGGCTGCGGTCACTAAGGTAATTAGAAATAAGCTGGACGGCATTTTCAGAAAATCCGTAATACTTCTCACATAGAAGGTTGTGATCTATAGTGTCGAACGCCTTACTGTAATCACTACAAATATATTGGAATAACACTTATATTAGTTATATTCCATTTTTTAGAGAACAGGAAGGAAATTCTAAAGAATAATCTATAGGAAGATGTGAATTAAAAGTATCCCGCACTAGTGTGGGAAAAAAAAACCGCACTGTTGCGGGAAAATGACAAACAATATCGCGTGGGGGTATGAGGTGAATCACGCACGCTTGTGCGGCCTCACCTGCTCCTCCAGAATGCTCCTGAGCCCCCGCTCCCTCTCCAGTTGCCTCTTGAGCTCGGCGGCGGCCGCAGAAGCCTCCGGCAGCCCCGTCTCGCTCACCGTCACCAGCAACTCCTGGCACAGCTCCGCCTCCTCCTCCGCCGCCGCCTCGCCGTCGTCCGCCTCCTCCACCACCTCCTCCGACGTTTCGACCGCCGCCGCCGCCATCAGCAGATCCGTCCTGCGCTTCTTCGGCGGCAGCAGCTCGCCGCCCTCGTGCTGGTTGACCAGTCGCTTCAGCTGGCAGTTTTGCGACAGCAGGCGCGTCTTCTCCTGCTCCAGGGAGTAGATGTACTCGGCGGTTTGCTGGAGGATCGCCGCCTGGAAGGAATGGGAGAAAATGAACCTTTACTCCTAAGATATATACAGAGTGTCCCAAAATTGCTGGGACACGTAGCTACCACGTGTATAGAAGGTCAAAATGAGTTGATTGGACCCAATAATTTATTTATATGCCAAAATGTACCGTTTGTCCGTGAGAAGGATTCAAAGTTCACATAAAAAACACATTTTTGTACGCTGTTCAGGAACAAGTGAAACGAATTTTATGAAATTTGGCAATAGTGTATTTCAGAGGATTACTTTTCTTTTGGTAATCGAAGAAATCTGAAAGAAATTGTAGAAGGGTTAAAACCACCCTCACCCCTGACATTTTTTTCATAACTTTTTTAGGGGCCATAACCGCAACCGCAACGCTGAGAATATTAATAGATTGATGAGCAGAAATGATTACCCGAGGTATAACATTTTCAAAATAATCCTATGTTCGCTTCTCCAGAAACGTGTGATAGGTCATCGAGTTTGGGACACCCTGTAAATACAACTGAAGTTATAAGGGAGGGAAATTATCATTGGTATATACACAAATTATAATAGGTGTACCTATTGAAAACGTCACTTCTATGACGTTGCAGTGACGTATCTATGACGTCTAAAAATCAAGTCGGTGTGACGTACCAAATTGGTGGGCTTCGTCATTCAGAAAATGTGTAAAAAATTTGCTATTTAGAATTTTGATGGTGACAAAACAATTCATGAATATACGTTATACTCAACAAAATCAAGCAAAATTCGTCAACATCCCTTACATTGCCATCAAACTATTCTTGGTTTGCTTACATCTCGCCTTGCATCTCGCCGACACAAACTAACATAATTTTCGATACAAATACGAGTAACTGATCTCATTCTGATGGAGATGCGTATTCAAGTATAGCGCTGAAGAATACGCGATTGAATGGATGACATCGAAAGGACCACCAAGCAGTCTCACTAAATCGTATCATCTGGTTACCTGATATGTCGTTGATTTATCTTGCCATAAACACTTGTTTTTTTTTATAACTCGTACTCATACTGATTGAAAAATTTTTCATCATTTATTTCACTCAACAAAAAAAGCGCTTGTTTTTTCTACTGACATACACAATACACATTACCTACCTTATCAATTTGAAAACAATCGTTTAAGATTATTTTTTCATCAACTCCCTCTGAAGTTGTTGCCAAGAACAATTTTACAATGAAGAAAAATTTCAATCAATTGTTGTTGAATATGTATGAAGAATTTGTGCGCGAAAAATATGAGGGTTTTAAATGCTCGATGCGAGTTAATTTCATAAATGACTTCACATCAACAACGCTAGGTGGTATAATAATACATGATGGAAACTTATAATAATCTATTTTGATGTTAGCTAATAATGCTAATCTTCATTTCGTGCGAAAATAAGTGGAGATGAAGGCACGACAAACGACAGTTACATTAAAGGATCAAAGTATCAGTACTATCAGTAGTTTTAGTTTACGCTCTACGTTGTACTTGTACTGTACCACAGATTGATGTTGTATGTTCTAATCAGTGTTGCCAACAGTTAAAATTTTTAATCACCAAGTAAAAATCACCATATTTCAAAAACTATCACCAGAATTCACAAATTCTGGAATATATTAGAAAAAAATTGAGAACAGTATAGTTATTTGAATAAATATGTTCTCATTTTCAAACAAAAGGTCGAAATTAACATTTTGTAGAAGTATTACCGAGAGTATTACTAAATTAAGCAATTGAATTAAAAAGGTATAAACATGAAGGTTCGATCATTTCATAAGTATTTTTGTGATTTCCATTTTTATTCATCAAATTAAACCCAATTTCATAATTTAATCTTCCTGAGTTTAGTATATTATTCTACTGAGAAAAATAATCGCCGCTATCCTCATCGACCTCATCCATTATTTTTTGTTTCGAGTTTTGTTGCATCTGTCGATTATTTTGAGTTAAGTCTTGTCTTACAGCAAGTTTCTGTGTACTGGTGTTTCTGAAGTCAATATAAATCTAGGTAGGACCAACTGTATAATGAATAAAACGGCGGACGCGGGGATAATTATATATACATGCACTCGATGCAGAAACACTACCCGTTCCTGCCAATGTTGTATGTTGATGATTGTTAGGAATGTGAATTGGGTGGTTTCACTCTTCTTTTCTCATCTCATAGGCTCTATTGCTATTGGACTCTTTGTGAAAAATCACCAAATCTGGTGATAAAACACCAACATTGGCAACACTGGTTCTAATTAATTGCGTCGCGGCTTCGACAGGTGGTGCCCCCACGAAGCCGCGGCGCGAACGGTTATTAGCGCCGGAATGCGCTTCGTTTGCTGGTTACTCTACTGACTCTTCTCCTTTTCGTCCCCAATCCCATGATAATCAAACCTTCATGAATTCCGTGCAGACTGCAGACTGACGCAAATGACGCAGTGACGTAGGTATATTCGATTCACTCACATTCACATTCCTAGATGGCGATCGGACAGGGGACGGAAGTAAAAGTCGGTAGAGACATAGGTGGACATAGTGATAACACCGAACATAAACAGAGACAAGAAACATGCATGGAATCGAGTGTCGGATCATGATTTTGTTCAAAGGCGTAGCAATAATTTTACCTATGTCAGTTGCAGAATCTTTTTCTTTTAAGGTCAAATGACTTCTGAACGAAAGTTAGGATTTTCGACATGTATGGCAACTGCATAGGTATTTCGATACGTAAAAGTTCGAAACCTCCGTATTGTGGACTTTTTTTTCTGCAATAACGTTTGTGTTCGTTTGTGTGGAGTAAATTGCTGTTGATCAAAAATATCAAGCTAGATATACTCGGCCAAAAATGGTCCAGCAAGAAGAACAGATCAAATTACCATAACCTGAAAAAACAGCAAATTGTGTTGAAAACTACAAACATTTCGAAAATGTCAGGAGTTTCACCAACTGATATCGTTTTAGACGCTTTAGTGAATAGGTAATGAATACCTACCTATTATGATTATTATGTTTTAAAAACGAATGCTAAGTACCTAGGTAGGTATGTATAATAAGGAGAAGAAAATATATTATTTTGGAAATCATGCATTATTGTTCTTTCAGAGGGTGGTCTAATGAGTATGGAAAACAACCATCATAAGAATTGATCGACTTTTGATGTCTGTATACATCCCATGTCACTTTCCGAATTCTCATAATTGATTATCAACCCCAAAAATATTTGAGGCTGAGTCAAAACTGTTTTTTTGAAGCCAATGCACTTTGCTAAAAATGTTTTCTGCTCAAATATACTACAATCCGCTTTGTGACGTCATTGATCTGATTTGATCCGCTTGTTGGTCTAAGCATCGTCAAGGACACAAATGAAGTGACCTATAACACACACCATACCATCTGATTGATCTGATCCCAGTAAACAGACAAGCAAAACAGCTGATCCAGCTGATGCCGGCTGATACAAAATACCATACCCAATAACGAAACAAAAATCATACACCCAAGCGGCGCCGAGCGTTCGCTGTCAAGGTCAATCGCGATAGCGATATCGCGCCGACCCAACAGCGTCACTGCGTTCCTATCTGCTAGCTGTTCTTAAAATAGATGTGAATCCACGCCTCTGTGATTCCACATGACTTATTTTCATTTGTTCGTTTACACATTGAGCAGGACTGGTCTAGTACTTCTAGTAGTAGGCAATAGGTAGAGGTAAGTATTGCGGTTACGGATCCAAGAATTCTACAAGGTGTGCTGCCTTATTCGGATTCTGCTGTTTCAAGCGAGAAGTTTTAGGAAGGGATTAAATTACACCGAAGAGATATTTTTGGGTCAAGGTTGAATTGGAAGTTAGGTACTTCATTGTATTTCTTCTTTGGAGAAGGCTCGGGAGAAGCACTTTTATGAAAAGTTATTTTTCTACTCACATAACTAAAATGGCATTCATCGTACGGATATGTACCACGCTAAATGATCAATTAATCACGAATTGTCGATCTGTGATTTATTCAAAATATTAAACACGATTTCTTAAACACATTACCATGGCAACTCAGTTCATTAAACACAGCTTCAGTAATTTCAATTTGAGACATGTCTGGTATGTCAATTGTATTAACTGTCAACTGTTATTTTCGAATTTTGTATCAGAATTATCCAAACAATATTCGTTTGTATCAGAATTCTTCATTGAAAATATATGCGAAAAGTAGACGAAAGTGAAATCCAAGAGAATGTTCTGGTACTTGCATATCTCCAAGAAGTGTGAAAATGAAGCATCCATCTTTGAGAACAATTTATTTATTCTGCGCTAAGCATGACAATAAACGTGAAACAAATTTTATTAAGCAATGGACTGGACACATCTACAACCAATATCACTTATACGTGTCTCGCTGGTTGCATGCAGTTGCATGTATTATGTTCTCAATTCCCATTCCTTTCGAATTATTTTGTAGGTTAGCAGGAATTGCAGGTATGTTTATGTAATTTTCGGAGTTCGTAGAAAAATCATAGTATGTAACGCGTTTATAAACTGTTCTAGACACTCGTTCATTAAACACTCGCTCCGCTCTGCTCCGCTCGTGCTTAAACTACTCGTTACTAAATGGACGTTTATAACACTTGTTACATAATATACTATTTTCAAATAAAATGAGTATGTACCTATAGCTATAGGTAGGTGAGGCATCTATAGGCATACCATACACCAGGGGTTTCCAATTTATTTTGACTATGGACCCCTAATTGATGAATATTTTTTTGGTGGAACCCTATCTCGACAATATAAAGTGCATTTATATTGTAATGGTAATCTTATTTTTAAGACCTCTGATACCTATAACTTTAA